TGTTAAAGTATGAATTTAAGTAATTACGTTATAATTTCGACTTGATCATGCAACTCAATCTCCCAGCAAAGACATTCATGAGAAATGTGCAAATTATCATTCCATTTTAAGAAACTTTGTAACTTAATTCCGTGAAACGAACGGGAGATAATATGGATTTTCTGCTAAACCTATTTTTGTTAGTGGTGTGATGCTAACCATGGGAACGGATTGTGCTATGATGAATTTGACAATCAAAATAAATCTTGATGAAAGATATTCTTGCAATGATAATTTGCACGGACGGGAATTGTCGAATAATTGCTGTGTTGGCCGTCATTACCCGTTTCGGTAAAAGTTGCACGAACGGAAACGGTTAGTTTTATCGCACAATGTTATTGTTATGACCCGTTTCGGAATTGTCACATTAGAATAATCTCTTGCACCAATAGAATGCACAATTTATGTGATAACGTCGAAACAATTTGTGACAATCTTGAAACGGCTCGACCCGTTCTCAGAATGGGTCACATATCATTATTCGTTACTTTATCGGCTACACCAATTCGATTGTTACTCTAACATGCTATTAATAGCGAATGTTTCTATTAATGGCTCATTCAACTAAATATGAACACGAATTTGAAATAACAACGCAACGCTTGCTACAATGATTAAACATTACATATTTATGTTGCTGCCTGCAAAGAACAGTGTACAGTCTTTGTTTCCCAGCCAACTGAAAATATCGCAGGAAGGGTGTGGTTTATGAAATGCATTTGTGCAAATTAGTAGAGGTAGTTTGACAATGAAGCGATGAATTAAATTTTGTATTTCAAGCATCTTTTGCTGTTGTGGTGAACAGGTGCTTTCGTATTAATGAATACTTGCTAAACAGATTATTAGTTACGATCGTCGGTGGGCTATTAACGAGTTTTTGTATCATTCGAATGTACGTATATTGTTCTTACTACTTCGTAATGTATGCGTCAAATGTTCTCATTTCATATGCGGCAATTATCGACCTAGAAACGTATTGTGATGTTAATACATTTATACGTCATTCTACACTTACGAACTAAAACAGTTGAAATAATAAATATTAAATTGTGCCCAAAAGCTTTTTTTTTTTAATAATTAAAACAAGTTAGTATATTAATTTAAGTCAGTGGCTTAATACTAAGGGTTTCAAAAAGCGACCTTTTTTGATTAGTTCTATTACAAAAGATATCTGGCCTTGTTCAGAAATATCTAATTTCAAGTACCCCAGATAATAAAAACCCTGTAAGGGTTTGACGCTGAGGAAAGGCGATTAATGAGATAAAAAAAAGCAACTAAATGCAAATAAATGCTCGGCGATTGTGCTCAAATTCTTGGCAGTCATAAAATCAAACCTTTGATAGTTATCGCCATTACTTGTTTTTACTTTATATTCTGATTCAACGAGCATCCAACAATATACACAATCGGCCAATCAAAGTAAGAAATACGAAAATTCTTTGATTAATTTTTTTAACCAAACCTGTTATTACAGTGACACCTCCATAAATGCAACCCCATAAGTGCAACCCCCATAAGTGCAACCCCCATAAGTGCAACCCCGTTCTAAATACACCACTTTCTTTGGTCAAAGCATGAAACTTAATGAATAAATGCAACCCCCGTTTTCTGCAACTTACGTAATTTCATACACCCAATACCAAAAAGTAATTTCCGGAATTTGCCGATCGGTAGTAAAACAAATGACAAATCTAATTTTTCGAAATTTATATCGGCGTTATTTACTATTACTGAAAATTTTTTACATTGTTATGAAGTTAATTGACTGTATTTTTAGGGAAAAATAACAAAAATTTATATTATTATAAAGCTGCAGTTTGATAAAGTGGCAGTAATATGTTACACATACTTTTTACATATCGTTATTCACCGAAGCACAGCTCCGTTATGATAAGTTGTGTAAATTTTATTCGAAAACTGCAGTCAATCAACTTCATAACGATGTAAAAAAGTTTGTTCTTTGTTTAGTTATAGAAAATAACGCCAACACGGGTTTTCGAAAAAGTAGATTTTTTATTTGTTTTACTATCGATCGCAAATTCCGGAAAATACTTGAGTGTAATATTATTTGTTGCGGAAAAATAATCAACACAATATAGTCATAGTACAACTGATGATAATTGTAATAAAACCCCAATAGTGAGTGCTTACAAGGTACTGAAAACGTAAAGACACGTCTAATTTCAGCAAGAGGAAGCCGGCAGCCATTTAAAACTGTTGATAATTTTTAGAGAAATTCATTTGCGAGGGTAAATTCGATGAAACAAAGTAGCATAACACGATTTTTAATTAACAATTATGGATATTATCGTTATAGTCAGGCCTTTTACGTTAACATTAGCTGGAATGTATAATAAGGAAAATCTTTAAAATTGTTAAAATGTCTTTCCTAATACTAATAGGCAAACCCCATAAATGCAAACCCCATAAATGCAGCGCTTGAAGTGTTGCTCTTAAAGGGGTGTCACTGTAGTTAATAATTATAGTAAAATAATTCTGCCAACTAGCTTGTCTTAGATCTGTGGTTGTAAGTCTTTTCTCCCTGATGAGGACTATTTATGTTGAAACTATCAATTACTGTAATGTAGTCTATATGAATATATAGCATTTAGTTTTTAATTGTTTGATGTAATGACATGTTTAAATAATATATACCATCATGCATTTGTCACGTAGTCGACTTATCGACTGTGTACAATCAACTCTCTTTATAACGACCGTCTTGGACAAGGCAAAATTAGTCGTTATATGTTGTTGTATCAATGTAGTGTTATTAGGAAAATATGAGTTGGGGAAACGCAGGTGGTCCGTAGATATCTAAGTTCAATCTTTTCTCCTGTTACAATGCTAAGATTAAAAAAAATTCGTACATACAATAGTTAGAGAAAGACATAATACAGAGGCATTTTCGTAGAACTATGAGTCTTTTCTTTCTCATGCTTGTTTCAGAAATCGACATTTTGTAAACTAAGTAGTAGTCGTAGTTAACCATATCTTTACGCGTTGATTATAACTATAGTTAATAGCATCCAAACATGGGCCGACCCAAATTAAAATCTTAGGATTGATTCCAATTTCGACTCGTGCTAGACATATACAGTATTCCCCATGAAATTGTCATAACGTTAATGCAACATTATAAACTTTGAAAAAGTTTAATTTACAAATCATGCGGAAACGTCAGGCGCTCTAATTTGCAAAACTAATAAACACGTTGCCACTATGAAGACTTGGAATCCTTGCTGCAAATATATTCTATCCCAGCGACTATAGATTTCGTGAACAATTTTTCCGTTATCATGCGCTTACTTTTTTCTTTTCTCTATCTCGCAATCATAGTGATACCTCATATTACGAATGCTGGAATCAATACTCGATCCAGTAGAGATGTTTTGAAAGAGTTTGGTAAATTCAAGGGTGTGGTAACCGTTGCGCCAATAGAAAAAAGACAAGTCAAATTTGGAAGTTGGGCGAGAAACCTGGGTAAATTGGTAAGTGATTACAAATCGCGCGCTTGCTAGCAAAATAATTCAATGATTAATTTATTGTTGTTGTTTTTTTTTTGTTCTTAGCTACTGAAGCATCATATAAGATCTTGCGAGAAAGCGATCTAGACCGTTCTCATGCCTCTTCTTGAACTTAGTGAAGATGAATACGGGTAGATTGTTAATTGACTTTGCTGAAGAACTGGATCGAAGTAATACGATCCTAGGGTATTATTGTAAATAAACGCATGGACGTGAAACCACAATAATGTTGTTTTCAAAACCGGTATAACTTATCGTAATAGCAAGATGAGTTCTTTCTTGTCAATATGTAATATGATGACCAACTGATGGGTATGTCGAATAGTTTCTTGGGCCCGTGCATTATAAGTTGTGACTACTAAGGGTTGTCAATGGACTCTGCGTTTCTTTCATTTGTCGTGGCGTTCAACCATACGTGTGATAAATGCTGTTAGTAAATTAAAAATAATATGAAGTTTGAAGAAATTTTTTGCCCTCGCGATTCGTAATGATATATCTTATGCTCCTATTATATATATAATATTTTTTTTTTGCGCCTGACACCATATTGATCTCATTTGTTGCGTGGTAAAACTGACCTATCAACTGTCGTGCAGTGTGTGTCTGTTATCAATATCAACGATCGAATGATGTTAATTTTTTTAATAAGGCATACGTATCAAGTTCGATATTACCGAATTTGGTAAAACAGTGTTTAATTCGCAGCCAGTAACACTAACACGCCTGTACATGTGACTAGTCAGATTTTTGAATTACAACCAATACCGACATATTGTGCAATGCTGCAGAATACTATCACTACAGGTAGTTCAAAATAAATGTTTGGGTTACAACAAACGTATGCATCAAAAAGGAAAAAAAAAGTAATATGTAGTCATTTCAACAAAGTCTTCGGCTCGAATCGTATTCTTTATTGCCAACAATTAAAAATTAATTATTTGTTTCGCTGATCTATTTTTAAAAAGGTAATAAAGTACAACATTTAACCGTAAAAAAAAGTTTATCAAGCTTCTATGGTATGACTTTGATCTTTGCATCGCCAATCGTCGCTGCCGGTGTAGTACATTTGATAACGAGGTGCTTGTTTTTGAAGTCTCGAAGAGTTGTTCCCGGAAGAGTAAACTGAAAGGCTCCTGTTCCACCATTTAGAACGGGAAACTGGGCGACGAAGGGCGTTAAGTCGACTGAAGTAGTACTAGACGTGATAATTAACAGTCTGCAGCCGCTGACGTTAACAAGTCCAGTATTGAATTGGCCGTAAATGATAGTGTCTGCATTGAGCTGGTAAAATGTGACAGCTCCAGACACAGTATGAGTGGCAGATTTCTGGAATAAGGCATATCCAACATCACCATTAGCGCGTTTGACCGTGGCGGCGAGCGAAGGCGACAACGCGACGAGAAGGCAGCAGACAAGCAAGAAAATTGTGCGAATGGCGTTTTGCTTCATGGTTTCGTTTCGTTTAAAGCTTCGTGTTAGTCGTTGAAAACTTGATCAGGTTCGAGTCGACTGTATTAAATATCTCCAATGGAAGAAGATGACTTTTTCTGAATGGGAAAACGCGGTCTTAATATACTGGCAAAAGGGAAAATCCCGTGGAGTACCAGGAATCAATTTATTCGTCGGTTTTGGGAAAATTCTATTTTTATTTCTGTGAAAAATAAGTAATGACGAAATTTTTCTACACCCCCTATGTATTAAATTGTCTATTTTTAGAGAATTTCATTCAAGCTGTACGAACGTCTATGGTTCAACAATGGGATGATACCATAATATGTCTGCAACAAGAATTAACTTTAAGAGCTACCATCCATAATGCAGTTGCATCATACTTTCCATATTACATAATGACAAACTCACAATTAAAAAATGAATATATTTTTGCAACCGCTTATACATGCATGTTGCAGAATAGGCATCACAATACTACTATTTTTAGAAAAGTCAATTAGCGAAAACATGCCACACAATAACTAGCATAATGTGTTAATGGCCGCATGGTTTGTTAATGAATTTTGCAACTTGCCCAACCAAACTCGATAGGATGGACATTGGATCTCTTATTTACTAATTTACAAAATAGGGAAAAGGATAAGTGGACCAAAACGTGATCTTGCATTTGCCATGCAAGTTTGGCCAATGGAATTGCATTATCGAAGAAGATATAGCCTTTGTTACTCTGACGATAAATTTAGCTTTTTTTCGAGCCCGAGGGAAACTGCATAGCATCGACCAAACAAAGAAGCAACGCCAGACTACAACAAAATGATGTGTGTAAAAAAGAAAAATCTGTGGGAAACGTCTTTTGTCTGGTCTGCAAGCCTGTGACACGAAAGATGTTCGATGGATATCTGCTTCTATACCATAAAAAGTATTAATCACACCCTGTACAAATTGTTAAAGTATGAATTTAAGTAATTACGTTATAATTTCGACTTGATCATGCAACTCAATCTCCCAGCAAAGACATTC